AGAATATCAAGGTAGATGGGATTAACTGACAAATTGCTGCTATTGAAACCACTAACCCTTGTTATTAAATACTAAATTTATTTACTAATTATTGATCAATAAATAATCAATGAATTAATAAATTAATTAATAACTCAATAATTAGTTAAATGTAATTGAAATATTGCTATTAAATAAAGTCTGATATTGTGGAAAATATAATCATGCCCATTTACAGCCATAGCATAGTTTGATTACAGTGTCAGCCCTGAAATAGACATGGCAGCAGGGCTCTGAGAAGCTGGCCCTCAAGACCTGCCCCAGTAATCAAGGCCCTTGTACTACATCTAATGTAGCCTTTACATGAAGTCCATCAAGGGTCCATGAAGGGAGGAATATCTGTCGGCTATACGTATCTCTGTTCCTCAGTTCGCTGGGTCTATTTTGTATTTAAGTCCCTAGAAACTCCACTTTTAATAGTGAACCAGGCTTAGTGTCAATTCCCATGCCAGCTTCTGTCAAGAGACTTCAGATGTGCATGCACAGGAGGGGCAGTACTCCTTGGAGTTGGGAAAACCCACAATAAAGGGAAAGTTTTAGAAAATTATCTTTGGCTTCCTGCTTTTTCCTATAAAGGGTGATCCCACCCAACCACAGGAGCAATTGCTGCTGAGTAATCCTGTGGGAAGCTTACTCAAGCTACCTTCGAGAGGCAGGCTGTCACCCAACCACATTCCTCTGTATGTTCAGCTTCAACAGAATCCTGGGCAATTCCTCAGTCTGCCTAGGGCATATGGCTCTGCTCAGATCCTTATAACACCTCCTCGATGTTTCTGTGACTCAGGCTCATCAACAGACATCACCTGGGTTGGGTCTGAAGGCATGTGCTATTGTTTGATGGGTATTTGCACTAGGATGCTGACCAATCAAGATGATTATATGATTGCCTGATGCCAGGACTAGATTCATCTAGATATTTCCCAGATCTGGCTTGAAGACCTACAAATACTCTCTACTGTTCCTTGAGTGGGTTCCTGAATGACTGATCTCTCAGGTTTAAGAGTCCGTGTTTCCTTTAGGCAAGTTTCTACATGTGATCAAGAGAAAAGGGAGTCCTTTAATTCCAGCTTTTTGAAACTTCAAGCATAATATTAGTTTCCTTCTGTCTTTATAAAGTAGGACAGGAAGTTGGGTTTGGTTACAGAGAACCCAAAGGGGTTAAACCTTAGTCCAGCCATTTTCTTGTTGTGAACTTGGTCAAGTTCCTCCTCCTCCTCTCTGAACTGAGTTTCATTTTTAAAGTGGGACAATGTTTTCCTTCCAGTGTTGCCATGAGCAGGAAGTGAGTCCATAAAAGCCCAATGTCTTGGGCAGGATCTGATGGCAGCTGAGGTGACCTTCATGAGTGTTTACAGGTGTCTCACCTTGCTGATGCATCTTTGGGATTTGGAGTGCCATCTCTATTAGATGGGGTACTGCTTCATAATACTGCTGTTTCTGTTGGCCACACAGAAGTGGCTGTCTGCTCTCCACCCACAGAGGCTACACACTTTTTCTTACTGAAAGTGCTGGAGACAGTTGCTACCCCTAAGAGAGGCCACAGGGAAAAGGACCCAGCCATAAGTTCAGAAAGTGATATGGTGAAAAGAAGGGATATTTTGACTGGGACTAGCTCTGATAGGAGGACTGTGTGTGTGTGTGTGTGTGTGTGTGTGTGTGTGTGTGTGTGTGTGTGTGTGTGTGAATGTGTACCTTGCCTGGTCCATTGGCTCCTTGGTTGGGCTCTACAGATGTGACAGGAAACTGGCCTAAAATGGATGGAGCCAGGAAACTGAGCCAAATGTCTTCCCACATTCTCTGGTCACTCCCCCAGCATAGCCCTGGGTATTGCACCACAAAGTCAGCTGAAAAGGAATTCTTGGGCTGACAGGGACTTTAGAGTATAGGCCCTGCTGGTTTAACTGGCCTGGGAGGCAACCATTATCGCACCCCCTCCAAAATGCTATCTGCTGGGATGCCGGGAACAACTTGATAATCCCAGCAGCCATTTCCAGGAGAAAAGACAAACTGGAGAGTTCCTGGAACCCCCTTTTCCTTTTGTTCAGATATTTAAGATAATTATATTGGAAATTTAAAAAAAAAGTCCCACTTATTTGTAAGTATGTTTATAAACCTTTAAGTGACATGGGATGTAGCTCAGTTGGGAGAGTGCTTGCCTAACATGCACGAGGAACAAAGTTCCATTCCTTAGTATCACATAAAGCTGGGAATGTTGGTATACATCTATAATCCCAGAACTTGGGAGGCAGAGACAAGAGGATCAGGAGTTCAGAATTATCTTGGGCTACATGGATAGTTAAAAGTCAGCCTGGGATACATGATACTCTTTAAGAAAAACCCCAGAAAATATCTGTTCAACAATAATAAATAATTTCTCATATGAATGAGGATAATTGTATACAGACACAAAGCTTTTAACACTAGATATGTTTATTTCTGAACATACAGCATCCTCCTATCTTCTGTGCTTGGTAAGATGGCAAAATATGTTCAACCTTTATATACAGGTGAGGAAATTGCTCTGAAACAGGGTGAGTCAGCATAAAACATCCCACAGGCAACTTTTGACTGGATGACAAGCATCTCAGAAATGTGAACAGTGGGCCTTTTGCTTAAGGCTCTAGGGGCCAGCTCTTGGAAGCATGCTGGAGAATAATTCAGATTATGGGTTCTCTGCTTTCCTCCAATCTACCACTATTTCCAGCCCACTAATGCAGGAAGATCTGGTCCAATTTTAGAGTGATGCCTTTGGAAGTTCTCCAGGCAGGCAGCAGCTCTTGGTGGCTCCTGTGGCTGCATATAAAATGCTTGAAGCTCAGGCTAAGCAGCTGGGAGATGTTTCACACCCATTAATTACCACAGAGGAGAGTGGATTTGGGGACAGCAGCCAGCACACCTAGGGTCCTCCTCCACACACAGACTCCTATCCCACCTACTCACAGAAACTCAGAGTCACAAAGTTTTGTGTTGAAGAGTTTTAAAACCTGGACTAGGGAGATGGATCAGTGGGTAGGAACACTTACTGTATAGGACCTCAGTTTAAATCCCTTGAACCCATGTAAAAAGCCATGGGTGCATGCCTGCCTATAACACCAGTGCTGGGGGAAAGGGATAAAGAAGGAGAATGCTGGGGCTTGCTGGTGAACAGCCTAGCTCCAGAGACAGTGAAGAGATTCTGTCTCAAGGGAGTAAGGCAGAAAGTGGAGTAGGACACCTGATGTCCTGCAGTCTCTGCTGCTGTGCAGGGTGCATGTACCTGAAACACACATGGAATCCCCCCCTCTCTCTCTGTGTGTGTGTGTGTGTGTGTGAGTGAGAGAGAGAGAGAGAGAGAGAGAGAGAGAGAGAGAGAGAGAGAGAGAGAGAGAGAGAGAGAGAGAGAGAGAGAAAGAGAGAGAGAGGTTAAACTCAACAAACAGCCACAGTCAAATGTGACTGAAACTAGACCTATTGAAATCAACTGAAGTGAGGGCAGTTGCCCTTCACAGGAGAACTGGAGCCTGCTCCCCGGTCAAAGATGGGTGTGGGAAAGGAACAGCTGCCTCACAGGGAACAAGGAATATCACATGGTGAGGAATGTGTGTGCTGCTTTTGCCAGAAAACTGAGTAGCCCAGAGCCAATGGGTCATCTACTGAGAGCAGAAACTAGAAGGGCTTGATCTCTTCATGAACTTACAAGGTGTTTCTGCTCTGTTTGCAAGCATGTTTTGACCATGTGCATTGTCCCATAAGCCACTGTCATTATTTCCCCACAGTTTGCTTCTAGAAGCAAATATTGACACCCTGCAATTCTGCATGTCAACAATCTCTTTGTAGACACATATGGAAATATGACACATTCCAGACTGGGGTGGTGGTTAATTTGCAGTTTGTTAAAAGCCTGTAGCTGTGTCAGTGGGGTGAGAAGTCTCTGAGACATGTCATTTAAGGAATGAGACTGGTTGCACCAGTCACACAGGATGGATGAGCTCCTCATCACCGCCCACACAGTGGCAGCCAGCATACACGTGAACTCACATGAACACAGATGGATTTGGGCACAGGTAGATATGGTCTAGACTTTCAGGTGCCTGGTAAGACCCACATCACTCAACTGCACAGATTTAGCTGTAGATCAGAAAATAACAGACTCTTTCTTCAAATGAGAACAGATACTTAAAATACCACATGTAAAGGGGGAGAGGAGAATAGGTCTGAGCCTCTAGCCTATGGACTATACCAGTGCTCATCAGCCTATGGTAATTTACAGGACATGGCTAGGTCCAAATCTCCCCCTGGTCTTCCCAAATCTCTATTGGCTAAGAGAAGGCTGAACCTAGCCCAACTTGAAGCAGCTGCAAACACACACACACACACACACACACACACACACACACACACACACACACACACACACACACACGGGAACCATGTTAAGAGATAAGGCTGTGTCAGTCTTAACAGAATCTGGCTACTCTGTTTCTGACAACTTTCCTAACATTCCCTTCTCAAGGTGAGCATATGCAGAAGTGTGTTACAAAGGCACAAAGTACAGACAAGGGGCACACACACACACTCTCTCCAAAAAAGTCAACGATACATCCACATCCTGAACTAGGGTCTGGGTTTGATAAGCATATTCCAGGATCTTGAATTAGAGTGGCTGCTTCTTGCTGCTGAGGCTGGCCTTGCAAAAACCCAGTCTTGGTGATCCCTGAAACTCTTGGAATGCTCACTTAATTGGGGCATCTCTTACCGACACACAGCCCACCAGGGCACCCGGCAGTAGCCTTTGGGGTCGAACACTGCACGAGTTCACCACCTTGCTACCACTCAGGTTTGTGGTCGGAGAGGCCTTGAGCATTTATGATGTGCGGGCCCTCGGGGCCTTTAAGGGGGCGGAGCTGTGAAGGGAGACTCCGTTTCTGCCCGCCCTCGGGCCGGTCCTCCTGTGGTTGCTGCGGCCGAGGTCCGGACGGACGCCCGGGGCTGAGAGCTAAGAGGAAGCGCCTGGCCCGCACTTCCCAGCCGTGCGTGGGGAGAGGCCGCCTCAGTCTTGCATTCCGGTCCTAGGTGCGCAGCGCTCTCTTCGGCGCGCAGTCCGGTCCCCGGCGCTCTCCTCGCGTCCTTGGCCCCGGCCTGTCAGGCCCCGGTCCCCGGATCCCTGCGCCCCGGCGCCCCTGCGCCCCAGCGGATGTCTTGAGTCGCCACCCGCCCGCTCTGTGCCCCGGGGCCAAGGCTGCTCGGGGAAGTCGAGGCGCGCGCGCCGGGTATGCTCCGTCAGCATGGGCTCGTGGCTCGGCGAGGTACAGTGGCTCATCCTGGTGTCGCTCTTCGTCGCGGCCCTGGGCACGGTGGGCCTGTATTTGGCGCAATGGACGCTGGCCAGGGCGCGACCCCCGCCCCGGCGGCGGGCGGAGCCGGAGGAACGGCCGCGCCGGGAGTCAGACACGCTTCTTTCCTGGATACTGACTCTGGATAGCTGGGGAAGCCAGTGGCAAACGGCCTGGGTGACCGCTCTGAACTATGAGGCCGAAAGAAGAGGGGTGAGTTCCTAGGAAAGCGTGGTGTTTGAGGGTGAGGGGTCCGCCAGAAAGAGCTCTGTCGATTGAAGGCCTCCACAGCCCCTGACCGGCCACTCTGAGCCTACCAAGGCAAGGCATTTATTCCATCTTACAAGTTAAGACCAGGGAGAGTGAAGCACCTGCAGTGGGAATCATGGCTGTTTCATACACCAGACATCGGTGGCTCCCTGGTGTATGCTGTCTCTGGTGTATGTATGTCCTCTGCTCAGAGGAACTGTCCTCACCTAGCTGGCCCCTGGTGGATTCTGGGTGGACATTTATTGATTTTGAACTTTTTACCCGCCTTCACTGGATAACTGTGATCCAAATATGCTTCCATTTCAAATCTGTTGCCCTCTGCCTAGAGCTTCTCAATTCTAAAAGGTTTGCATTTCTGAGCATATCACAGAATAGTGACCATTTGTTGAGCTCTCACTGCTTGACAAGTGTGGCCCTGAGAGCTGTTAACTCACTCCCAAATCAGCATGGCTCTCACCATCATACAACTGAGGTCTAGAAGGTTAGACTTGCATAGTCTTTGGTGTCAGAGCCAGGGCATAGACCCAAATGTGCTGACCTTACACCTTGAGCTTATTACCCAGCTCGGTGTCTCACAATCCTGTGGCTGTTTCTTTCCTTATTAATTGCTTGCTGACTTATTTTTACATTTAAGAGATGTTAGTGTAAGGACAAGTTTCTGGCGTCTACAATTTGGAGGCGTTCCACAGGGAAATTAGGATCTTGGTGGGACAGAGCTGGCACCTGTCAGCTCTGCATCTGTCCCTGGACTTCAGGTACAGAGGCATCTGCACCTGTGTGCAGCCCAGTGGAGACACCCCACACCACCAGCCTTTGGACACAGTGAATACCACAGTGTTAAGTCACTGTCATGGCTGAACCTGTCTACTTTCAGAATATTCCACAGTGGGGCCGAGCTTAGATTTTGTGCCATGGCCTTGGCACATGTGGCCATGGAACTTTAAAAAAAAAAAAAAAGTTTTAAAAGGATAAATTAGCACACATCCAACAGTCCAGCAGTACAAGAGACTTTGCACTGGACTTTTGGAAAAAGACTTTTGGATGCAAAGGCTACAAGCATAGTTGACATCTGTCTTGATACCTAGAATAGGCGCTCAGTCACCAGAGCTGGACCTCTACCTAAGTCAGCATGAAAGCTATGTGCCCTCATATGTGCGCATAACCACCATCTTACCATGAAGCTGCAGTCACTGACCCCCATTTAATCTGGTGTCAGAAGCCTGGCCCAATCAAGGAGAATATGGAGTTGCCCAAGCTGATGCCAGTCTTGTTCTCTTTCTCTGTAGGGTGCTATTGAGTGTGCTATAGGAGTTGGACACCAGTGTCCCAGAGTCAGTGACCCTCCCTTCTGTGAATTTTGGATGTTTCATTTCCTGTCACTTCTTGGTTGACTTCCTAAGATATGGTCACTCTGGATATGCTCTCAGGGTTCTTTATGCCTGGAGGCTTGACCAGAAATAACAGGAAGCCCCTCCTTAGTGCTGATCTTGATTGGGCAAGTAAATTCCCCTGGAATTAGTGGCAGGTGAAAGCTCCTGTAAACCTGGCCTATGTGGTTGGGGAGGGCATTTGGGGGCTGGAAAGACACTGGCCTGTTTGCATTGCCCTGTCTGCTTTCTGTTCTTTGTCAAATTCAGCCATTTATCCCAAGAGAGCCCCTGCCTGAAAGTGCCTGTACTCTATTAGGTTTAAGCTCAAAGTAACTGGTGGTTCCTGCCAGGGCTTTGTGTGACTTTTGCATAGGAACTGGTGGTGGAGTATCTCTTGGCACAGTGTTTGTTCTAGTTGATTGGTAGACGCCTGGAAATGCTGCTTGACTGAATTCAAATTAAGGATTTTGTGGCAGATAGGAACTCAGTCATTTGCTTTTCTACCACACCCCAGTGTCTTGGGCCTTTGCTGTTGTTACAGTGATGATACGAAGGGAACAGATGCTGGCATTTATACTAGTGAGAACCTGACCCCTGAGACCAAGCCTGATGGAGTTTCTCCCTGCCCTCCCCCTGACTTCGAATGGCACTAATCCCTGATTAGGGCTGACATTCCCAGACTGCCTTAGGCATAGACAGCCACAGTTTAGAGGTCCCCTGCCCCCACTCTGTCCTGAAATCGCTTTGCCATAGCCAGGGAGGCAACTAATACTTGGAAGTCAACCCATTCTTTGTCTGTCACTGGTGGAGTGGAGAAACACTAGCAATATTTGATCCATGGGAAGGGAAACTTTCTAACAAGTGGGAAGGAACAGTAACCTGTCCCATTCTAGGTTTTACCCTAGGTTTGTATTTGTGTGTGTGTCATTTGTGTGCAGGTGCACATGCACTAGTATGTGTATATGTGGTGATCAGAAGACAATCTAAAGGACTTTATTCACTTGGTATTTTTGAGACAGTCTCCAATTGGCTTGGGAATCACTGATTTGGTTAGACTGGCTGGCCAGCAAGCCCTAGGAATCCATCCGTCTCTGTCTCTACGGTGCTGGGATTACAACCATATGCTCCTGCTCCACACCTAATTTAGTTCCCTGTGTTCTGGGAATCGAACTCAGATCCACAGGCTTACACAGTAAGCAATTTCTTACTGAGCTATCATCCTAGCCACATAGTTGTTTTAAAATGGAAAGAAACTCTAAATTTTGTGCCCAACCTCTTCTCTTTCTAAAAGTGAGGAGCTGAAGCCTGAGAGCTAAGAGCTCATGGTCAGCCCAGAGCCTCATCTGGCTTCTTTTTGGTCCTGTTTCAGCTACAGCCATGCCTTATGGGAAGCAAATTCATCCCTTAGTCCCAAGTGTTTCTTCTGATTGAGGTCCAGTGAGGAGGGCCTGAGTGATGTAGCTGAATCCTTGTGGTCCAAGGACTAAGCTGTGACTCATGATGGCTTCTTTGTACTCTTATAAGTGTAGCTGTATGAGTTCCAACCCAGACTCCAACCATCACTCCAAAAGTAGTTTATAGGGTGATTAGTTGGGTGGGAAAGAGGAGAAGCCATCATTGTTCCAGAAGCTGATCAGCAGTCTTCCAATGTGTAGGGATCATGAGAATCATTAGAAATACCCTTGCCTACTTCTCCATCACAGTGCCACATGCACAAGGCTTGGGTTAGCAGAAAAGTAGAGAACAGAAGATACTTGCCTCCCATTGGGTGAGAAGCCACTATGCACACCTGTCTCTAAGCGGCCATCTGTCAGCCAAAGTTTTTCTGTGTCCAGCAATATGTCCAGTTGGTGGTTTTAATGTTAAGCCTCACTTCTCTGACAAATCTGACATTACAAAAATCTATGCCCATTGATGGGGCCAAATTCCTGTAACTGAGAGCCAGAGAACCCAGAAAGTATTGTAGTATCTGAAGGTTATGGACTGAAGTGTCTGTTATGCTTGGTTCCATGGCTCTTTAGTCCCAAATAAACACACAGAGGCTTATATTAGTTATAATTTGTTTGGCCAATGGGTTAAGCTTCTTATTGGCTAGCTCTCTCTTAATTGTTAAACCATTTCTATTAGTCAATGTCTCTCCACGTAGTCTTGGGTTAACAGAGAATGCCTGAGTATCCTATCTTCCTGGTGGCTATATGGCATCTCCCTGTCTACTGCTTCTCTGCCTTTTCTCTTCCCAGCATTCTCCTAGTCTGGTAGCCCTGCCTATACTTCCTGTCTGGCTACTGACCAATCAGCATTTATTATCAGCCAATAAGAAAGAACATATTCATAGCATACAGAAGGACATCCCCCATCAGATGGTAGCTGCTCAGGGTAACCCTGTGGCTGGCCTAAAGTCACATGAGCACTTTGGCTTATGGTAATAATCAGTTACACAAGAGATGGTGGTGTAGATACCCCTATACCATCCAAGATTACCTAAGATTTCTGTTTCCACAGCTCTGGCTTGGGATCCTATCATGTTGGTAGCAGGTAGCCTCACCTGAGGTTGGAGGGCTTCCCTTCCACCCTGATGCTCCGTGGAGCACGTGCTGGTCTCAGAGCCCATGTTCTGCTACTGGTGTTATGGGCTTCTATGGTGTTTCCTCCCTACCATCAACTGGCAGTGACCCAAGATTAGGAAGATTCTCAGATCTGTCATTTCTATAATCCTTCAATCCAGGATTTCTTCTGAGAAATGCTCAAATAGAAGTAAGACTGCTGTGCAGTTTAGAATCTTTAGAGGATGGGGAGTCAGTGTGAATTTAGAACATGTTCTGAATAGCACTGACTTCCCTGACATTCTGCAATTTGCATGTAAATAGTGGCCAGTTACTGCAGAGTCTTCCCATCACCTAATGACTTTCAAGTTGTACTTATAAAAACCAATAGCAGAAGCTGCACACAGGAAGGCTGGTAATGAGACTGTGATATCCACTTCAAGTAAGGGCCCTGAGCCAGCTTGTTCCCCCACTGAGAAGGAAAATGGGGCAACTCTGAACTCTGCCATGGCTCCACACCCCAGTCTCTCTCTCTTTAACTCACTCAGGCTTCTTCCCTATACAAGGGCCTTCGCATAGGGCATCCCTGAGTTCCTTATAGTGTGTATCTCCTTTCCCCTTATTTAAGTTCTTGAAGTCTCAGAAGTGCCTGAGTCCTCCCATTCTGCTATTCAGTAAGGATGCTGCCCCACCCCACACACTCAGCAGTCTTCACTAGTCCCCTCTTGGTCACTTGCACCTCCATCTGAGGCTGAGGCAGAGCTCGGGTCTGTCCACACAGAGGTGGATTTCATGCCCAGCTCAGAAGTGGCTGTGCATGAGTAATGTAAAAGACAGGCATGGTAGAAGAAGACAGTGATCATGTACACCATGATGTCTGGATACAGGCCCCACACTTGAGAGCCAACAGGCCCAAAGAAGAACAGTCTGTTTAATGTGCTCTGTTTTAGCATTCTGAAGAACAGAAATGTAAAAGAAAGCTAGCCTGTGACTGTGCAGATTAACAGTGTGAAGCCCAGGACAAATGCCA